CTCTTTCACCTCAGTAGAAACAGTGGGTCGGGCCTTTTATTTAACCATAGTATAATTTACATTGATTTCTTAGGTCCCAATTCTTCATGGAGGGAGGGAGGGATAACCAGATACACTCCATGTGTATGGTAGAAGTTTGGATGAGTGGAACTCTGCAGTTGGACTGTAGAGTTACTCTTCTACCTGCCCTGAAATGTATAGTTTTGAATTCATATGTTCAGTGTTGTAAATTAGGAATTAAAGCATGTATGGACTACATAATACTAAAAAGGAGAAAGTATTTTTTATGTTTCCAGCTCCTTGAGTCTACTGAGTTGAAAGGGAACCTCTTTCAAAGTCCATAGCATAGGTATGCCCCAATGGATTTGCAATCATTGTAGAGCTAAAAAAGATGAATGCACTCTTTCTTTGCCCTCTGTATTCTAATTAGGCACAAATGAATGGTTTTTGTTGTGGGTAGAGTGTTATATTTTACCTTCTCTGTTCTCCTTCCATGCTCCATATACTTTTATGAACATTTGGAGGTTCTGAGTAGAGTTGTATATTTAAAGATCCTAACAACACTAATTGTGATTGGTTTCCATAGTGATGAAAGTAGTCTATACAGGAAATATAATGCCAAAGATAGGTTTGGAACAATTTAGAAATAATAGGATTTGAAAATCTTGCTATTCAGAATAGACAGTATGAGATATTGCTAACTTGAAGGACATGAAAATTACTTAGCTGACTGAGGTTCATATCATAGATACAGGCAAATGTAGCCTGCTCTTTCATAGTGTATACTCTTGGTACTTATGGGGTAGGTACTGCATAAAACACATTCATGTTCAGACTTGTGTATAGGATGTCTTAAAACAGTCCATACCAGATGGTTTTGTTGGATATTTTGTATGTGCTAACCATCTCTGTGATACCTCTGGCAGAATAGCCTATCCTCAGGGAAAACAAACAGTATACCAATCAGCATATGATAGGAGAAAGTAAGTATTTTGTGAGGCTGCTTGTAGATATTTATATGTGAAAGAGGTTATTTCCTGTGGCATTCAAAGATTTACTTTTATTGAGGACTGGAAGGAAATTGGATACTAGAAATGGAGGACATTCAGGCAGGAAAACTAGGTACCTGTAAGGGAAGAGGATGAATGGAGACATGATTGTGGGAACAGTGAGTTTGGAAAGTACTTGGAGAAATGCCATGGAGGTCCTTTAGTGGTCATCAAAGGTATGTGAGCTTCACTTTTAAATTGCTTTAGTAGGAGTATAGAAAGTATTGCTAGATGTTGAGAAGAGAGTACTGAGCCCGATGTGTGATGGAAAATGGAAAAGACCAATTAGACTGCTGTTTTCACCCACTCTGCAACTAGGTACAATGAGGCCTAGTACCAGATATTTGACAGCCAGGGTGGAAGAAAAGTGTAGAGGTGAGAGACAAGTTTCAGGAGACAGGACCAATTAAGGACTCAGAGGTTTAGGTTAGATTTTTGTTCCTGGGCTTACAAAAAGACAGCTCATTTTAGAAGGAGAAGTAGAAAAAAACGAGTGTGATTATTAGGTTACTCAACTGGTGAGTGATTGTCTAGCATATATACCTCGGAATTTGGGAGGAAGAAAAAGAGTCTGTGAGTAAAATGAGGAATCTTGTTCGGTTAGCCTTTCGTCAAGTGCATAGTGATCCCCATGTAGGTTGCAGATACTTTCCCAGGTCCATCACTCTCCTTCCTTTTCCTTTCTCATGATTACCAATCTGTCAACTATGTACTATGAATGTTTCTTTTTAGATCACAGCTTGTGGCTCAGCTTTTCACTTTATATAGGTGCTCCTTTTGTGATAACTTTCCAAAGCAAATCTAACTTTCTTCCTAGTCAGGTTCTCCTAGATAGTACCTGCCTTGTCATAGTGGCAGCTCTCAACAGAGAGACCTCAGAACCAAAGTAGAAAGAAACCATGGCAATAAAAAGTACAACTAGGCAAAAGACCTTACACATTGGCAACTTCAAAATGTTGCTAAGAGAACTTATAGAAGATATTCCCAGGGCATGGATTAGATGACTTGATGTTGTTGTCAGTACTACCTAAAAAATCTGCAGATTTAATGTTATCTCTTTAAAACCCCAAATGGCATTTTTTTCATAAATAGAAAAACCCATCCTGGAATTACTGTGACTTCTCAAGGAATTCTGAACAATCAAAAACATCTTTAAAAAAAAAAAAAAAAACAGAGTTAGCTGGGCACCAGTGGCTTATGTCTGATTCCTCAGGAAGCTGAGGTATAGAATTGAAGTTCAGAGCAATGCCAAGCACACAAATAGGTATCCATCACCAGCAAAAGGAACCAGAAGCATGGCTCAAGTGGTAGAACAGTAGCTATGAGTGAAAAAGATGAGTGCTAGTGCAAGGCCCTGAGTTCAAGCCCAAAACAAACTAGCACAAAACAAACAAACAGCAAAAAAGTTGAAGGACTGTTTCTTAACTTCAAAACGTACTGCAACTCTATAGCAATTAAAAAAGAGTATGCCACTATCATAAAGACAGACATTTAGACCAATGAAATAGAGAAGAGAGGCCACAGATAAAATCTCATTTGTAGGTTAATAGAATTTCACTGAGGTGGCTGATACCATTCAATGGAGAAGTGTTTTCCACAAATAATGCTGAAAATACAATTTATTTACACAAGCCAACAAATAAATAAGATTAGAATCTTATATCATGTACAAAAATTAACTCAAAACTGGTTCTAAGACCTACATACATGAAGTAAAACAATAGCCAGGCGCTGGTGGCTCATACCTATAATCCTAGCTACTCAAGAGGCTGAGATCTGAGGATTGCAGTTCAGAGCCAACCCAGGCAGGAAAGTCCATGAGACATTTATCTCCAATTAATCGCCAGAAAACTGGAAGTGGCCCTTTGGCTCAAGTGGTAGGTCACTCACCTTGAGCTGAAGAGCTCAGAAATAGTGCCCAGGCCCAGAGTTCAAGCCCCATGACTGACAAAAACAAAAACAAAACCCAACAACAACATGACAGAGAACATAGGAGAAAGTCTTTATGGATATTAGATTCAACGATGATTTTTTTGGGTTTGGCACCTAAAACAAAGCCAAAAACAAACAAACAAAACAAAACAAAATATTAAGTAAAGTAAGCCAGTCCCAAATAGGTCCCATGGTTTCCCTTATTTGCAATAATTAGTATATGTCTGAGACAAGCAGAAAAGGTCAGATAAGATGATGTTAAATGAAATGAACCCCAAGATAAGGACACAAGTGGTTTTTTTCTTTCTTGCTATTGTTTCTAACATATTTATAAGGGCCCACGTGATTTTTTTGTGGCTTTGTATGTCCCTTCCCCCATGGTATAACCCCTATTTTCACTGTATGATTTTGGTATAATTTGAGGAGGGGAAGGGAAAAAACAAATTGTTTAAACAGGGATACAGGTTAACCCATTGCAACAATGAGATGTACAAGACTCTATGTCAAAAAACGAACTTTACAATTTAGGCAGCGGGGGTGGGGGTAGGGGTAGGGGGTGCTGTAGTTGTGGAGATGGGAGGGAGGAGGTCGTAGGGGAAAAACAAAGGAGGAAGCAACAATGCTTGATAAGAAATATACTCATTATCTTGCTCATGTAACTATAACCCCTCTGTACAGTATTTTCACAATAAAAACCTTTTTTTTTTTTAAACAGCACCTGTCGCTCATGCCTGTAATCCTAGCTTCTCAGAAGGCTGAGCCAGCCCAGGCAGGAAAGATTGTGAGCCTCTTATCTTTAGGTAACTGCTGAAAAAGCCATCGTAGGGCTGTATCTCGAGTAGTAGAGTACTAGTCTTGAGCAAAAAAGCTCAGGGACAGTGCCCAAGCCCTGAGTTCAAGCCCCAGGACTAATAATAATGATAATTATGACAATAATAATAACTTCCAGTGATACTGCTTTCCTAATGTGTCTTCACTAACTGTATTTCTTACAGTTTTAATATTACATTTCGTATATTAAGTACTTCTTAAGTACTAGTCACCTTGGCAGAGACTTTCTGTACATCTTATTTAATACCCCTAACATAGAGAAGAGGTATTTTTATGTCACGTCCCTTTCCAGGTGAGTTATGAACCCAAGTGAGTTCATATGAAACCTCTCAGCTTGTTTAGATAAAAATAAAACCCAACATGCAGCCCACATGGTGAGTCCGAAATTAAACATGTTTGGAGGCTCAGTCCGTTTTCGGGCAGCCAGTTTGCATTCCTTATAATAGAGCCTGAGCTCTTTTAAGTGTTTCATGCTGTCTCTCAGTGCCCTGTTTAATGTCTTCCTTTAACATATATAATAAAGAAATGAAGACCCACTCTGGAATGAATTTGTTTGTGTGTGTGTGTGTTTCAATTTAAAAAATTATCTTCAAAGTTTTGTACAAAGGGATTTCAAGATAACTTGTCCATTTATATTTACAGTACAATGTCATCCCTTCCATTAATTTCAACCCTATCTATCTCCTCAAGTTTTCTGGTTCCATTTTCATACATATACATCTCAGTATTATAATTGTATTTAATACCAACATTTTACTTTTATGCAGTTGTTCTAGGTTAGAAAAACTGCAAAGACAGGTCAAATAATGATATTTTTTTAAATCCTGAATTCTTAACTGGGTATCTCATGCCTGTAATCCTAGCTACTCAAGAGGCTGAGATCTGAAAATCATGGTTTGAAGTCAGCCCAGGCAAGAAAGTCTGTGAGCCTCTTACTTCCAGTTAACCACCAAATGGCTGGAAGTGGAGCTGTGGCTCAAGAAGTAGAGCACTAGCTTTGAGCAAAAAAAAAAACTCAGATAAAGTGCCCAGGTCCAGAGATCAAGCCCCAGGAGTGTTCCCCTCCCCCCAAATTGTGAATTTCTCACTTATTTACCAATATAAACAATTACCTTAAATTTGATGTGATAGTGTGTTCTTTTTCGTTAATCATGATTTTCTTTCTCCTCCCTTTCTTCTGTGACCTAGCTTTCACTTTCAGAAGAACAGAATGAAGTAATGAAAAATGGCTGTGAATCTAAAGAGCTGGTCTACCTCGTACAGATTGCTTGCCAGGTAAATGTGTGGATGTGTCATCTCATAGAGTTCATAAGGATTATTTTGAATAATGATTAAATTCCTTAGTATAGTACATTTCTTTTTTCTTTTTTTTTGGGGGGGGGGTCCGGTTGTGGGGCCTGAACTCTGGGCCTGGGTGCTGCCCCTCAGCTCTTCAGCTCAAGGCTAGCGCTCTACCACTTGAGCCACAGCACCACTTCCAGCTTTCTTCTTTTTGCTTATGTGGTGCTGAGGAATCGAACCCAGGGCCTCATGCCTGCAAGGAAAGCGCTCTACCACTGAGCCACCTTCCCAGCCTAGTATAGTACATTTCTCACCTGGCAGAATAATTCACAGAAAGATACTTGAAATTGGGCTGTGAATGACTAGTATAAGAAAAGAAAACAAAATGTTATTCTGCAAAAAATGCAAAAAAAAAAAACATGTTTATGCAATGCTATGTGGAATTCACAACTTAGATTGCAACTTGTATATCTTATCATAGTTCCAAGCCAGACACTGGGTGGCTCACACCTACAATTCTAGTTACTCAGAAATTTAAGATTCAAAGCCAACAGACAAATCTGTGAGTTTCTTATCTCTAGTTAACCAGTAGAAATCTGGAACTGGAGGCAAGGCTCAGGTGATAAAGTGCCAGCCTTAAACATAGGAGTTTAATACATTAGAGACAGAACCAAAGAAGACACAGTAGCTGTTTGTCCTACTGTTCAAAGAGTACACACACTACTCACACATTGATTTTTTTTTTTTTGTCAGTCATGGGACGACCTCTGGGCCTGGGCGCTGTCCCTCAGCTCTTCAGCTCAAGGCTAGTGCTCTACCACTTGAGCCACAGCACCACTTCTGGTTTTCTGAGTAGTTTATTGGAGATAAGAGTCTCATGGACTTTCTTGCCTCAGATTTCAACCTCCTGAGTAACTAGGATTACAGATATGAGCCACTGGTGGCTGGCACACATAGATTTTTTTTTAAATCTTGGTGATTTGTAGCTTTAAGCAAGATATTTAATTCTATAAGTAGTTAGAGGATGAGTGGCTAAGATCTGGTGGGGAGAGAAGTAAGCAAAGAAAAGCCACAGAAGTATCTCAGGCCCTAGATGATGAAGGGCAGTTTTATTAAGAGAATTATGGATATTGGTCAATTCTTTTCTTTCTTTCTTTTTTTTGTCAGCCCTGGGGCTTTGAACTAAGGGCCTGGGCACTGTCCCTGAGCTTCTTTTCCTCAAGGCTAACACTCTACCTCTTGAACCACAGCATCACTTCTGGCTTTTTCTGTTTATGTCGTACTGAGGAATTGAACCCAGGGCTTCATGCATGTTAGGCCAGTACTCTACCACTAAGCCACATTCCCAGCCCATGATCAGTTGATTTTTAAGTCACAACAGCAAGTGATTTTCTGATAACCTGTTAGTAGTAAACAAATGGAAATCCTCTTATCTAGAATACGTGATTGTTATGTCAAGAATAAATTAATCCCTCTATAGCCTACCCGATTTTAGCATCCTTCTTCTTACCAGTTTCCCTAGCTTCCAGAATGCAAATACTTTTATTCCCATGAGCAAACCATGTCAAAGGTATTTATACTTTTAAAAGTTCCATTTTAAAATTTCTTATGTGTTTTAAAATTGCCTTTAAAAGGTAAGCAGTAAACTGTATGTTAGAATTCATAATTGTTGCTTGATTGTTCTTCCAGGTATTAGTTATCTACATGATACATCGTTTCCTAGTCAACCTGCTTTAAATTTTTTAAATCAACTTGGGGTACTACTTATTACATCAAAGTAGTAATTATTACATTACAGTAATGCCCTCATTAGAAGTAATCATTGAAGCCATCCCATGGCTTACCTCTGAATTCTTGTCATGTGTTTCAGCCACAAACCATATTAAACTTAGAATCATTTTTATAACTAAAGAGACTCACAACCAAACCCTCTAATTTTTGCAAGCAAGATACTGAGGTCCAGGTACTGAAGTAGCTGCTCTAAGCTATGTGAAGTCAGTTTCCTAAGTGCCAGCTTTTCCTACATCTCTGTGGAATTTCCAGTCTGGAACAGATTTGAGAAGTGCCTAATCTTCAGATCACCATTACCTGTTCACATATTGTGTATCTCTGCCAGCTTTTACATTTTAATAACATTTAACCAAAATTCTTGGTCCTTTCTTTAACTCTTCATTCTCTTACATATTAGCTTAGTTGGTGACAAATTAAATGGATGAGATCTTTTTTTCCTTTTGAAGATTGAGTAGCACTACTTTCTTTGATTCTTAACTTTGAAGCTCTTAATTGTGACTTTGCCTGCCCTTTAATTTTATGTCTCTTAAAATTGTGAGTACAGAAATGTAAATTCTGTCTTCCATAGAAAGGAACCAAATTCAGTAAACAGTTTCTGTGCCTACTATACCAATAGTATGCCATTTAATTCTTAGGACAGCTTGTTGAGGAAAATAATCTGATTTCAGTTTTATAGATGATGGAATAAAAACTTGGAAATATTAATACTTTTCCTGTGCTCATTCAATAAAAGACCAGGGTTTCAATCTAAATAATATGGATTTTTTTACTCAGCATTTTTAAATAATATGATTTGAACTTGTTTGGCTACCCTAAAATCTGCAAGCATATCTCCAATGTTAATTAAAAAAAAAAAAAACTACAGAAGTACACTTAGCTACTTAGCTGATCGATCCTGTAGTTGCTTTATGTAACTGCATTGAATAGGAGCTCAAGCCCGCCCTTTCTATCTCTCTCTTTTATCTGCACACACACAATGTGAATCATTAAACTTTATATCCCTAGAAGAAGATAGTTCAGACTGAGTACAATCCTAGTCCAACATACTATAGTTTTAATGATAGAAAAATTTTAATAGCTGATACTAGTCAAAGAAATCTAATTTACCCATCTTTCACTAAATATTAACCATAGACAAAACTTTCCCAGATGCTTTGAATAATAAATCATTAGTGCTCTGAGCATTCAACTCCTGCTTATATTGAACATTAGAGTAAACACAGACATGTTGCATCTCAGATATTCTTTCCCATAGTTTTCATTCTGTTTGTTAATGTAATGTAACCAGTTCACAAATCAGTCTGTGGATGAACAGACACTCTATCTAATATCTGTCTTGATGTTATTGTGTGAAAGTTCTTTTCAGTCTGTTTTTTCTTCTGAAAATTCATGGCGTTTTTCCTTCTGCTTATTATCCCTTACTTATCAAGAAAAGGATTTATGTAGAAATTATTGAAAATTAATAAAAATCATAAGAAATTCAGAAGTATGAAAGAGATAGAGACTTTACTAGTGTAAATGTTGAAAATTCAATAATCTAGAAAATATTGAAATTAGATGAACTATGACACTAATTATTTTAAGTTCCACTATGTAGGATAGAAACTTTATGAGTATAATATTAACAGCATTAAGTTTGAAAATCTGCCTTCTTTAGCAAATAAATAAGCATCAACTTTTAAGTAAATTTTAAAGTGGAAAATTTAAATCCATTCTAATATACACCTTAATGAAATCTTATTTTAATTTCTTCCTTCTGCATGAGTAATTTTATTGTTTTAAGGATAATTGTTTAATAAAATACTTAAAACTTTGTCATTTCTTTGTCCAGTGAGATTAGATGATATTAGCAATTCTTATTGAAGTTAAAGTATATTAAATACTGTTCTATTCTAAATAGAGTTCACTAATACTTAATAGTATATTTTTGCAGGCCAATATTTAATAACTGTTTCTGTTAGTTCAAGGTTCCTTTATGTCATGGTAGGTGGGGTAAGCAGTTGGATTCAAGGGAATGCCTCTTGGTCTCAAAATATTTCCAGTGTGCTGATGTTTCCATGCTTGAAATTCCATCAGTAGAGACGCATTCCTTGATATGAATTATCTCCTCCTCTATTCAGTTCATTTAGGAAACATTGTTACTACAGCAGTGGGATAGATTATGGATTGTAGAGCATGTATGTATGAACAAAATGCATAGGCAGGTTGCTACCATTCTATGTAAACTGCGTAAGGTTTCTGTGAAATTAACTGTTACTGTTCCCATTTCACAAATAAGTGAACTGTAGTTCATAGATGTTGAATAATTGTAAGATTCTGTACTTAAGGTAGACCAAGCTAAGATTCAAGTCAGGTCTTCTTTTCTCTCTCATTTTAGAGAACTTCATACATTTAAGGAGAATGATATTATCAGTTACTTTTCAGATTAACTTTCCCAAGACAAAGGATTTTGGATATTTCCAAGGATATTTGCAATGATGTTCTTCTAAAAAAAAGACAGCAAACACTTATCCTTATCAAGAAATACTAGTTTTGGCATCCTTGGATAGAAAAAAATTTAAATTGAGGAAGACATACATATTAAAGCATGTTGTTCTTGTTTTGTTCCTTTATCATTTTCAAACTTCTACAATACTCTGATTAAATTTAAGCAGTTTAGAAATTGAATTATTAAAGCTGTGATTTTATTAAAGATCTTGTTTCATATCTACTAAAATATAAGGTGATATTTTTTAGAAATTTACTTCCATAAATGTAACGCATTTAGATGTTTTGCAAATTGTGTGTTGAGCTTCTGATTTCATAAACAAAAATCTGTGTAGAAGAGCTGGCATTTTGTTGACATGAGCATTTTTAAGAGACAGTTGAAAGAAGTCCATAGTGGTATATTTGTTAGAATTGATGAACCTGCATGGACACAGCATTATCTTCTGAAGTCAGTAGTTTTTATTAGAGTTCATTCTTGGGGTTGTATATTCCAACTTTGGAAAATGTTATTTCTCCATTATTTTAGTTGTACAGAATGCTATTTATGTCCTAAAAACATTTGTGTTCTAACTATCCTCCTTTGTTCCCTCAATCCCTTTCTTTCTCTCTTATTCCCTTCCTTCCTAAGAAACCTTGACAACCACTAACTTCTTCCTCCAACCCCCACTGAAGTTTGAACTCAAGGCCTCATGCTTGCTGCCCTGACACTCTACCAC